GATAGATGATAGATAGATAGATAGATAGATAGATAGATAGATAGATAGATAGATAGATAGATAGATAGATAGATAAAACTCGGTTTTCATCTAATTAACACTCTGGGTTTAGATTTTAACCATGAACTTCATATGGCACTGGTAACTTTACAAAACTGGTGGCCAAAGAAGTGGGTGAAGGGTGAAGAATCTAATTTCTGATGGATCCTGTAATTTAGAAGCAGAGGACAATGTTCAGGCAATTGGGTGCTGCTGTTTTCCAATGCGGAATGCCACATACTTTCTACTTTCCTCAGCTTATCAGTGGAAGATCTCCATGTAAAGATGATTTTAATCCAGCAATTTCCCCAAAACATTAAACAATGGGAAAACCTCTTGTTGATCAGATCAAATGTTTGTCTAGTCTAGCATTCTGCTGCCTCCAAGTGGCAGAAAGAGGCTCTTGGAAAACTTCCAGGGTGGAAGGCAAAAACCAGCAAACTGGATTATGTTGAACATGAAGCAGAACATTCAGCCTCATAGTCAACAGCTGCTAAAGGACTGGTCCTATTCAATCCCCCTTCCAGGCAGTCAAGATGGCACAGCTTGAATCAACTCCAAAGTCCCACATGTGAAGCAAGCATGGTCTAACTCTTTGGTAGGTTTGAACATCACATGGAAAAAGAGGCCATGATTTGCCATCAGAGTCATGTGGCTGGCAGAAACCTACCAACGAAATCCATAGCTCACCTGCTCATGTGCTATGAGCCAAAAACCATAATCTGAAATGCCCTATAAGCCCAATCGATCAATCAATCAATCAATCAATCAATCAATCACACACAAGAAAAACCACCCATGCTGGCTCCTTTGAAACTGGGGACAAGGTAAGATAATTAATTGGATCAATGAGGGATGAAGGAAGATGGGTTTAACTCATCAGAAAAGACTGCAGCCTTTGGAAGAACAGGGGTTTAGCATAACAAAATACTGGGATCTCTCTCCAGAACTCAGCATTCTAAGTAGGCCATTTTAATATATCTGTGTTCACCTTATGAAGTAAAACAAGGATGCAGTAGGCTGCAATCTGTCACTATTATAAACTGTCACTCTCAGGAGTGCCTTTCTCCATTTCTTTTTCCTCTGCAGCACTGTGCATTATTGTGACAGCTGCCCGATAACCTTCTCAACCTGCATGAACCAGCGCTGTCCGCATATTAGGAGTGCTTCTCTCCTTTACCTGAATTAACATTTCATTTAAAATGGTTCTAACAGTTGCACTGTACCCTTCAACGTGGAGCCACAGGCCGTGTTGCTCACAGAGTTCCCTCAGTCGTCCAAGTTTGTCTGTATGCCCTGCCCCTGGAGTGCCTGCATGGAGAGGAAACAACAATGGGAGGCTAAGGACACAGGTTAGTAAGGATCACAGAGCCACCTAAGACAGAGATAAGCAACCGGATGCCCTTCAAATGTTTTGGACCACAGGCCCCATCACTCACATTCAACCCACTCCCATGGGAATTATAAACCAGAGTCTCTAGAAAACTCCTACTTGCTTCTCTCTGGTCTTCTAGTTGCTCTCTCTCTTGAACTTCAGCAGAAGCAAGAACACATTATGGTTTTATACCTGGGGGAACGGGCAATATGGTGTCCACCCTATTCTGTTCAGAGGAGCCTTTTTCATTTTGGTTGCCCCAACAAATATCTCCTATGTACCAAATCTCAATTGTCCCATGCACCAACAATGGTGATACACTGCCAAGGCCACCTAAATTAACATCCCATATAAGTAGGGTCGACTGGACCACTTCAAGCACTTTTGACAAACTCAATATTCAGGCAACTCATTGTCCATCCCTATCTAAATCTTCCCCACCTTCATAACTTCTTGCATCTAATGGACAGCAAAGTAGAGAATGGGGTGATCAACCATCAGTACCAACTTCATTCTACCAGTAGGTACACACCCCCAACCTCATCAAATCCTGTGATAAGTGGAAGTGGATTGCTTCCCCATCTGGCCCATTCTTAAGTGGCTTCTTGCCGAATGCCTAATTGTATTCCGCTGTTGACTTCCCTTCACTCCTTGCTTTGCTTCCCCTTTGACTTAATAACATTTATTAAGAGGCATTTGTGGGAGGAGAGGAAACCAGCACTGCAGAAAGGAAAACAGCTTGTTTACATTTGCTGAAGACACCCACCAGCATTGGCCACTAGCAATATAGGCAGCTTTCCAGATTCAATGTCCTCCTTGATCAGTCTGTCCAATAAAGCAACATCCTATCACCAAGTGAAATAAAAGAGGGAATAACATGAAGAGAGCAAAAAAATATGCAACCCTAGTATTTCTGTTTATATATATATATTTTTTAAAAACCTTACCATTTGATGCTGGGAGCCAAACATCGTGTTACACGGCACCCGACACATGCAGGAAAGAGGTAAGCCGAGCTGCAGAAAGAGATACAAAATATGCAACTCCCCAATTAGTTCCTTTCAGGTGTTCGAGGCGTGTGGGTGTAAGTGTGACCTTGGTGGGGAATATTCGGTTCGGTTCAGCCTCTCATCAAGACCTCGCCATTCAACTTTTTATAAAAATGTGAGAATGCAAACTACAGCTGTTTCTATGCCATTCCCTTTCTGCCCATAAATGAAGAGATATTATTAAAATCTGACTTAGTTCCATGAGAATCAAGCAGGAAATAAGGGTGGAACTGCAATCAGAATAAATTTTTATTTTATTTATTAAATTTATAGGCTGCCCATCTCCCCCAGAGGGTGCCCAAACATTTCTGGGCAAGTTGGATTAGGCCTTCCAGTTTTCCATGGGCCAGAAGTACAGAGCTTTTTCTGGCCTAAAAGCCCCCCTAGCTTTTGAGTGGATTACCAGGAGTCTTCATCACAAGAATAACGAGGCCAGAACAAAACAACATTTCATTTCCTCTTAATTAAAGTTAAATATAGCGAATATGATTATTATAATATATAATAATTTTCCTTTGGGCCACAGTAAAAATTAGGATTTATTAACAACGGTTGGAGGTCTCTGGTGGCTGTATTCAAGATGTTTAGGATATTGCAAAGCGGTGCATTTCTAGTTGAGTTTAAACTTTCCACAATGAGCGATGCATACGAAGGATATCATCTCAATTTTAGCAAGCGCTTTTCCTTTCCCAAATAGTCATTTCCAACTCTATGGTTGTAGCTTACCATGATTCTAAATCAATACACTTCCCCCATAAGAGGATTGCAAATAAACTGATTAATAGAGGTTTACTAAATAATATGATGGCAGCAAGGGAAGAGATAAAGCTGATTCGTATGCCAAAAACATCCCACAAATTTCAACTTACCTGACTGCAAAGGAATTGGCCCAAACCAGATCTTGCCGCAGCGCTGAAGTACACCACCGGCTGCTTGTTATACAATGCATTAAAACCTTCAGTAGCATAATCTTCGTAGCGGGAGTGAATCACAAGCTTGCAGACTTTTAAGAGCCCTTCGCGATCATCTTCATGGTAATATGCTGACCCATTTTCAAATCTGTTAAGAGAAATTATGAATTAAACATGAGCGCCCTGGAAAAGGGGCCAGTTCAGTTCACTTGCTTCACATTAAAACTAAGCCATTATTAACCACTCTTCTGAATGTTCTTGGGGGAAAATGCTATGTTACTCTTGTGATTAACATGGCTAAAAGACCCAGAAAAGGGGTCTATAAACATGCAGAATGAAATGCAGCTAAAGTTGATCTCCAACTGACTGTACTATTTAGTAACTGAAACGCCGCTGATAATAAAAGCAGCCTTTCACTTTCATAATTAGCTTCTGGACACTTGGATTAAATGTGACTTCCTTTTCTGCATATAAATCAGAGTTAACTGAACAAGAAAAAGCAAAAAAACAGTACTGGCTTGTCTGAAAAAAAAATTAGCTCCTCCAAGGAACAAACTTCTAAAGCAGTGTTTCTCAAACTTGGCCATTTTAAGATGGGTGGACTTCAACTCCCAGAATTCCCCATGCTGACTGGGGAATTCTGGGAGTTGAAGTCCACCCATCTTAAAGTGGCCAAGTTTGAGAAACACTGCTTTAGAAGTTTGTTCCTTGGAGGAGCTAATTTTTTT